CTAACCAATGGCTGTAGCTTCATATTTACCCTCCACACATGAGTATAAACAATCTGCTTATCCGTCTCGCTGTTTTTTTTGCCAAATAGGTTTGCATGTACAGTGAATTTCCTTTTGTGTCAAATAAATATGTACTCCATGGTGATTTCTGATGAAAAGTCATGTGTGTTGTCCGCAGCTCGTCCCTTAGATAGTCCCTTGATCCTCCTTAGCAATGGTCATGTTCTCCCTGGCAAAGGCATAGAGTATTCAATAATCATAAATATAAATACAGAATAAAAAATAAGTTTAAAATGTTATTATTTGAAGCACCGTCCTTCGTGAGCTATGTGACATGCAACACACATTGTGATCTTCTCGCTAATCAAAAAGTACTGACTGACTGCAGGTGATTAACTTAGTTTAGCATGCAGACTGAAAACGTGAAACAACGCCTATTTAATCTCTTGTTTGTAAACCCCAAGCCTGTTTTTCAGGTTTCAGGCTCCAAAATAACATTCCCAGAACAAAAGGCCATATCTTCCTTTCTAAAAGGGTTAAAGTAATGATAAACCTGTGAGTTGGATGTAGAAAAGTCAGAATCAATATAGATGTTTTTTATTTTAAAGAAAATTCAGATTGAGCATGGTAAAAAAAAATGTATTATAGTGTCCGTCCAAAAAATATGTTGTACTTATAGTGAAAACTAACCTTGGATGATGGGTTAGTAGACTAAAAGCTTTAGGAATCCAAAGTACAACATATAATAAGTACCCTATATCAAGATTGATGCAAAACAAGTGATATTTGACCTTTTAAGACAGATTTAGCAAAAAAAACCCTCTTCTGGGGCCATTTGGGTGGATTTTCCTTATCTCTTCTTCGATTTTGACATTTGACATCTCTTTCTGACCGTTACATTGGATTTTAACCTATGGATTAACTACAGCATCGTTTTTATCGTTTTAATGCCATTGAAGACCAGTTTTGACCAGACAAAACCAAGGTAAGCCATGTTAGCGTTTTAGGCTACCTAGCGCCACATGTTTTGATGTACGTTTTTGTTAATAACGTCGCGAGTTTGTATCTTTCAGTGTTGAGGTGGGCACCGTTAGATTCTGTGTCTTTACGATCATAAACGATGTGTTGGATGTTCAGCTAGGATAAGTAATAAGGGAGCTAGGAGTGATTTTCGGTGCAGTAATAGGTTAGCATTTTTCGCTCGGGGCTAATTCAGAGGCTCACTGTTAGCATTGTGTGTGTTTTTTTAAAATTTAAATGAAAAAGATCAGTTAAATTAGTTTTTTCCCGTTATATGGATATAAAATATTCATAGTTTATTAAATATTAAGGTTCCTTAGACGTTGTTTCCTGCAAATGACGCGATTTTGGCCCCGGAACCGGGTCCGTGGGGCTTAAGAGATTCATACACAAACATAAATATGGTTTACAGTGAGATACTCCCCACACATTTCTAAACATTCAGTTGCTGAAAATGGTGGGTTAAAGTGCCAAAAGGTTTTTAAAGTTATACGGTCAAATATTTCTGCCAAATAGAGCCGCAAAGAGCCTAAATATCCAGACCACTCAATTCTCCATCTCCATATTAATCCTGAGTAACATGTACCAGTTAGTGTTTCCTGTATCACTGAGCCACCCTTTGTGTCAGTGGTCTGTTTCGGCTGAACTGACTGCCTAGCCAGCGTGCCATCCCAAGATACCACAACTTAAAACCGCGCAGCAACCAAACGCCAACATTAAATTCAGCGTCAGGCCTCCAGACCCATCGTTTTTCATCCAGTCCTCATCATGGAATCAAGCAGGCCTTTTCCAACCGCACTAACAAGCTCAAGCTAACACCCCCAGGCATGGCCTGACGTCTTTAAGATGATTGAAGCAGCCAGAAGCGGCCTCAGCCATGTTTCCAAGCACCAAGCAACCCCAAAAGCCTTATCCTATTAAACCACATACACCGTCTCATGTGTTGCGCCACAAACAGACATGCAAAACTGGGCCGATTTTCCGTTTGAGAGCGAGAGATTATTGTGAAAGAAGCGGTGGGCAGGATGACAGTCAGAGATGTGGCGGTTTGGGCTCCATCTGTTTCTCGCTAAGTCAATGAAGGGAGGAAGAAAAAGCTGAGCAGATACACTAAGCATTAGCGGTTAACCAACTACTAATGAGGGGAAAAAGAAAAACATTGAACTCAGATGAAACCATTTAGCATACAGAGGTGTACAGTATCCTAACTGGGTTTCAGGGAAAGAGAACACTCACATAAGTCCATGTGCAAAAAGCAGATAGGTATAAAGAAGTTGAGGTTGGGCCTGTTTCTAATTGATGTGTGCGTGTGCCTTTAACACCATCCTCAGAGTATGTGTATCCCGTACATGTACTTCCACACCTTTGATACAGCAAATGTCCGGGGCACTGGGCTCTGGTGTAGTCTTGGCATGTAAAGCTTGATCCTCCTGCCAGGGTTTGAGGCTTGAGGCTTTTTCATTCCTCTGATCGCCTCTTTCCTCCCTCATCTACCCCCACCACCTCCAAGCTCTGGAATAAATCCTGGGAAATGAGAGAGGCCTCCTGCCCCTTCGCTGCTACTCATTCCCAGGTGTGCAAATCCCAGGTCAACCCAGGATCACATGACACAGCTAAAATGTTAGACAGAGGAATAATAAATGACGGCGGATAAAGAGCAGGACGTGAGGTGAGGAGCGAGAGAAAGGTGAGAAGTGTGGAAAGAAAAAGAAACAAGATGAAACAAAAGAAAGAGATGGAAGAGAAGGAGCTTACTTTTGGGAATGTGAGCCATGCTGAAACCATTCAACTCAAATCAGCACCATGTGTCCTCCAGAGCCTTATTATCCCATAAATGAACTTTATTGAGGCAACAAAGTGCTTTGGAGCTCTGCGAAAACATTAAAGGGGCCTCGCCTGTCTCGGCCTGGAGCCAAGAGAAGTCCGATTCCTCAGGGGACTAATGAAAAAAAGAGAGGGGCCCCTGGCCTCGTGTTCGCTGCCCCCAGTGCAGCCTCAACGGCACAGCCTGAGTTATGGCCTATTAGTAACAAAGAAATAGTTAGCAATTACACCAGGGAGACAAATATGGCGCAGACCTCTCGACTGAACTGACCTGTGGAATTAACCAGGAAGGAAGGATGACAGACAGAAAGGTGAAACAGCAGAAAGGAAGCAGTGGGAGAGGAAGGAAACACAAATAGAAGATAGGACAAGTCTCGTTATACTGGGCACCTTTTGGACTGGCTTATGTTCGGGCGAATTTGAAGTGCAATTTCCTGTGGTGCTCACAAGTGCATTCTCCTAAATGAAATTTGTAAATTAACACAAAACGCATAACATTTCAAATGTTGGAGGTTTACAACGACTCAAGGCATGTAGAAATTCCTTTTTTGCATCTGTGGTGACAAATAAATGTTGCCCGTCGTCCATAGTTTGGCTGGATAGATAAATAACGCAATAATATCATTAGTGAGAATTATTCAGCCATGTTAATCATTTACTGAATATCTGATATTGTAAAGGCCCTTATTTCAATATAAAAGTCCTAGTGCTATGATGAAACATCATCTTCATCATCATCATCATCATCATCATCATCAACAGTGTGCTGTGTTCACTTTACTGATTTTACACATCAGACTCTGTTAGTCTGTTTACAGGTGTTGAGGAGCACTACTGAAAACGTTTTATGAAGGCTTTTGTCCAGAGGGAGGTGCAGAATTGAAATATAGTTTTAAGAAAGGAAACTGTGGCTGAAGCTGAAGAAGTTTAAGAATGAAAAAAAAGAAGTCTGTTAGTGGGTGAAAGACGTGCCACTAATTTGTTTCTGTCCCTGAGGTTTGAATAACTTAAAAAATGTGAAAATGTCACAATAAAGTTATAATTTACTTTAAAATATCATTTTCTTTGGGCCCATATCTTGAAATACCTGATTTTGTTAAGTTTTGAGATAATATTGAGAGAATAAGGGCAATATTGTCTAAATGGTGTAACCATAAAAATGCAGTACCAAGAATATAAATTGTTGAAAAAACGTGTAATAATGTTCTAAACAGCCTCTGAAATACATTGGCATAATCTTAAACAAGTATTTTTTAATACCAAATAATAATAGAGACACATAGCAGTTCTGAATATTTCCATTAACATGGGGAATCATGTCTGCTAAGTCAAACTTCTGGTATGTCTAGTGGTGTAATCACCCATTTTGGAGCCATTTTGAAAATGTTGAGCCAGAAGATCATGTGACATAATGTGATGTCAAACTGAAGGACCCCTGAAGACCCCAACTGCCACGAGTCAAGGTTAGTAACTCTCTCTAAAATTTGACAAAATAAAGCATTTTCAGGTCAAGGTCAAGTATGATTAGAATACATGTCAAATGGTATGACCTCAGTAAAATGTTAATAAACATAGATGATCATAAAATATTCAATTTAATATGAAAAATAGTTTTAAATATTTAAATCAAGGTCAAGTGTTTACATAGTCGTCCACAATAATGCCTGCAAATGTTGGTTTAAATTTGAAAGGTCCAGTGGTGTAACCAGGTTACTCCATTTGACCTCTTCCTTCATGAGAGTAATTTGATCAATGTATGGACAATAGTTATTATTTTATTATTATTATTATTATTATTATTATTAATAATAAGAATAATACTAGTAATAAGAATAACTTCAACATGATTATTGTTGTTACTGTTAAAATCATAATTGGATGTGTATTATTAATTATGTGTATTATTAATAATAATAATAATACTAGTAATAAGAATAACTTCAAAAATGATTATTGTTGTTACTGTTAAAATGATAATAGGACGTGCAGCTTGAAATATAGTCTAAAAGAACTTTAAAATCTATAAATCAAATATTTTTTTAGTTTCACATTTCTATAGGATAATGCACGTAAGCAAGCAGTATGTAGATGGAAACTTGTGTGTGTATGTAAACAACAAACTCTCTCTTCTTCTCCTAATAGATGCCTCTTACAAGTAAACAAAAAGTGGCTCGCCACAGAGCGCGGGTTAATGCGGATCCTGCTGCAAGGGCAAATTACCTGGCTAAAAGAGGGCAAAGGTACACTACATACATAAACACACACACACGAGTGCTTCATGAGAAAGCAAAATATCAGTGATGTAGATCTCCTAAAAGGGTAGTTTTAGTGAGAGATGTGAAGTTAAAATGGAAGAGGAATTAAGGCTCTGGACATAGGACTAACATTTTTATTCATCTTTACTCTTAGCTATCAAAGGAGAAAGAGACAAGGAAAGATCACAAACATCCCAGTCGCAGATCTGTCCAGGGAAAAACAGGTGCAGATGAGGAAAAAGTGGAAGCAGTATCAGAGGCAGTACAGAGAGAAGAAAAGGGTGCTTGCTGAAGTTTTGAACCTTACTCCTCCCTCACTGAATTCAATAGAAGATGACCAGCTTATTGGCCCTCCAGAGCCCATAGTGGTTGTTGCTGATCATGACTATGTGCAGCCAAGTTTAGAGAGACCACAGGCATCCTCAACTCCTGTGAGGGCAGTGCAGAAAAGTACCAGCAAACATAGAGCAGTGCTGAAGGAAAGGGAAAAGCTAAGGTTTGAGCTCATCAAAATAAAGAAGGAACTTAAGAGTGAAAGAATGAAGGCAAAAAAGCTGCAGCGGAAAGTTGATAAGCTCAAAGTGAATAAAGGAAAGGAAGTAAGTGTGAGAAACACGAAGAGAGACAAAAAGAAAATTGCAGAGGAGAAAAAGGAGAGGGTTGTCGGCTTTCTCTGTAGAGATGAAAATAGCCGCATGCTGTCGGGTAAGAAAGACACAGTTACAAAAAATAAAATGAAACACCAAAGGAGAGTACTTCTTCATTCTCTGAAAGACCTCCACTCCAACTACAATACAACCGCCCTGAAACACCATGCAGTCTCCTATCGACAGTTCCTCAGATACTGCCCTTTTTATGTTACTCAAGCGAAAGAGTCCGACCGAAACACCTGTAGCTGCTTTGACCATGACAACTTTAAAATGATTGTTGACAGACTCTGTCAGACTAACAGCATTTCGGAACTTCTGGACACCATTGTTTGTGACTCGACCAACCAGAAGTGCATGTACCGCTTATGTAAGTGTTGCTACAATGAAGTGGAGTTTGAGGGCCCACTACATGATAGCATCATCACATGGGAGCAGTGGGAGAGGATTGTTGTTACATTGGAGGAGAAAAAATCTGCAAAAGATTGATAAGAGTGGCAGGACGGCAAACTCTACACTAGTGTAGAGTTTGAAAAAGTTAGTTTAACAGACCTCATCTCTGCTTGAAAGCTATTTCATGTGTTAGGTATTCAAAACAAAAGTTGTCACATTTCCTGTAAAACACAAAAAGGCCCCTCAGTTTCTGTGATACAGTGTGAGGGGACTTCTCCAGGGAGAGGTGGCCGACTGCTGTGTGAGATAACAAACGTTCGTGACAGCTCGTGGGACAGGAAGCAAACATGTGAGCGTGTATCTGATGTCTATTAACCGCCCGCCTGCCTCCTCAGCCAGCTCACCACTCCAGAGGCATGCGGTGTATGGCCGGGGCTTACTCCAACATAAATAAAGTCTCTGATCCTTCTCTGGATGAAGAATCTTTTATAAAAACGGGATCCTTTGCGGTCGGTGAAGGGGCAACACTGGTAAACCAAAGGGCCGCAAGTGGATGTATGGGACTGATTAGGAGCCTGGAAATGAGATTAAAGAGAGATCTAGCAACAGATTGAATTGTATTTGCCATAATTGCTGAGAACAGCTTATTCAGTGCAGACCGCAGAAAAGAGAATCATAAAACCAAGGAAGGAGGAAGGAGGAGGGAGGAGATGAGGGAGGGCTGCCACTTGAAACCAACAAGCTTTTCTGAAGAAATCAAACCCAGGACAAGTCTTGTATCAATTAGAGTGTGCGCATGTTGTGTTTGTGTGAACAGAGGATTGTAAAGGGGATAAAGTTCTTTTATTACTGATTTCTTTCTGTAGTATTAGTAATCTTGATTGTTTTCAGGCCAATTTAACCACACAGTGCTTTCTTTGAATGGAAAATCCCCCTGTGCTGACTGTGTATGCAGAGAATGTATCTGAAATGAGATAACTGAAATAGGTCTGACCTCAGTTCTCATCATCCCATTGGAAAGAGCTTTAATGAAAAATAAATCTTGTGATGAGAAAAAAAGACTAACAGAGAAATCAATAGAGGCTCAAAGATAAAAGTGAGCGCTGTGTGCCAGAGAGCTACTCGCTCTCATTCTTGGGTTGATTGTACTTCGAGTGAAACCACATGAACTGAGTGCTTCTCACAAGGGGAGAAAAGGCGTGTGGAGCTAACCGCAAACATTTACTGCACCGCTTAAAGCCCCTGAACACTTGGTATTTCTCTGTCACATCAAATATTCATAACACGGAACATTCAATATTCAATGAGCATCAAGTGCAGAAAAACAAACCCCACACAATGCTCCATCAGTTTGAGTGGGTGATCAGATTTGATTGACAGTCCTGAAAACAAATGCTAGCGCTAAAATATTCTACTTGGCACTAAACGCAAAAATCAACTGAGGCTGATTGAGAGGTGAGATTTACATGTATTTACATGTAAATCTCACTTATATTCAATATTCTTATTGAATATAAGTGTAAAATGTACATATACATATGTACATTTTACACTTATATTCAATTTCATATTCCATTCCTTACTCACTTAATGTATATATTATATATATAATATCCTGCTTTATATTTTATTACTGTAAATTTGTATCTCAACATGTATATTTTCTACTTTTGTTAATGCTATTTTATTTCTATTTGAGATGTTTACATTTTGGATTGTTTATTTCTAGTCTTTTAATTTCTCTAATGTACAATGCCTTGTCTTTTTATGCTGCTGCAATGCAAACATTCCCCAAATTGGGATCAATAAAATACTTCTTATCTTATCTTACATCAGGTATTTTCGTCAGTGTAGAAAAAAGTGTAGGACCAATTGATGATTGTTGTTGTGCTCCCTATCTCTGTTTCTTATCCTATATCTAATAGAACTGCTCGGGTCTTGATAGATTGAGTGGGGAAGTTCATGAGATCTTTCTAGAGGGTTATCAAGAATAACTTTTATCCAATGACCTTTTCCCTCTCTGCCTGTGTCTGTGTATTCTCTTGTTCCGATTAACCCAGCCAAATCTTTCTTCTTGTTTTGTATCTATATCTACGCCGGGATCCGGAGTCGAGGCTGATCCTCTTGCTGTAGTCCTGTGTCTTGGATCCTCTATCCTGAGTTCTGGATTAAGTCGTGGACTTCGGGTCGTGGCTGAACCTGTCTCTGCGGTCCTGCCTTGGGTCTCGCCATGCTGCTTCCCTGATGGCTTCCACAGGATTGTAGCTGACATCCTCGTGGATTCATCTTCTTATTACAGACACATGCATTTCCTAACATTCGGTCTATATGCTGTAAAATGTATTATCTTTTCAATTTACACACGGCATCTATTGCACGTCTGTCCGTCCTGGGAGAGGGATCCCTCCTCTGTTGCTTTCCCTGAGGTTTCTCCCATTTTTTCCCCTTAAACTGTGGGTTTTCTCTGGAAGTTTTTCCTTGTACGATGTGAGGGTCTAAGGATAGAGGGTGTCGTTTTTCTCATACTGATATTCTGAACAATCTGTGCTGTTGTATTTGCTGTAAAGTGTCTCTACTGTAGGCTATTTTTATTCTATGTACAGCACTTTGGCTCCACCAAAAATCGTTTATAAATGTGCTATATAAATAAAACTAGATTTGATTTGATGATTTGACCAGATGGAGGTGCTTCATGAAAAGCCACTGAAGGCATTAAAGTGCGCTGTGTGGGAACCATGAATGTCTGTACTAAATGTGCCACCCCATTGAATAGAAATTGATCTTATTGAAAGTAGTAAGTAAAACATTTGCTTGTTGGTGGCACTAGGGCTCAGGAAGTCACCAGAGTCAGAAGGATTCATCCTTTGAGGAGCATAAATATACGTACAAACAATTATGTCAATTCATCAAACATTTGTCGAGGTATTTCCGTCTGGACTCAAAAATGCTTGAAGTTCTTTAATGACAAAAAACACTGAACAAAAAAGTAGTTTCTATGTTAGGCACTTTTATTGATTTTGTATTACTGATTCACAAACACAAGAATTATTGTCAACCTATTAAAACAGATTGGAGTACAGTGTATTTATACAGAGATTTACATTGATTGAATTTAAATAGACTATGTTAACAGTAGAGGGAATACAGTAAGTGTTAATCCTAACATCTGCATAACAAAATGCAAAAGGTATTTTCTAAACTATCTGTTGGTTTAAACAGAGATTTTGGCCAAAATATAAAAAAAGAGAGCGAGAATTATTAGTTGGTAGTGTTTTAACTGAGAGGTAAAGACAGGAGTGCTTACAAAAACTAACCATTAAGGTGTTTGTCTATCCACATAAATAAAGGGAACTCGTCACATGGCGTCCGACAGTAACGCGTTTCGTGCCGTTCTACTTCCAGACCTGCTGAATATCAGAATTGTCACACTGTAGTACAGTAATTAGAGTAGTACAAAGCTATGAAAAATATATCAGTGTAAAGGCATAAGAGACTCGCTCAACAATCACAACACCACTACACGACACCATCAAGATTCACACAGAGCTGCTCAGGGGTACGCAGAGTTGCTCTAGACGAGTTCACCGCTTCAGAAATCACCATTTTTATCAAGCCGGGACATTTGCTGTCTTTGGAAAGTAGTTTTGTGTACAACCACTAATGCAAATCAACAGCTATTAGTCATTTTAACTCTGACAATGTAGAGTACCAATTCACAGTTCAAATTCTATTCTGACATTTCCCAATGTAATGCAGATATCACAGCATCCAACAACAACAGCTGCCTACCCCTGGGCCACACTGACTATTACAATTTCTATCAACTTGGCCTGCCAAGTCTCTCCACTAGAGGACACTCTGGTTCCAACAAAAGGACGACGTGCCACTGCAAACTAGGACACAGCAAGAGATCTCCTCTCTATGAGTCAAATCCAGCACAAAGCATGTCCAGACTGAATAAAGCAGACTGTATGCGTGACATGACTCCCAAATCTGTCACATAACATAAAATGGCGAGTAGTTTTAGATTAAGGTCTTTGGATTTTTTCTGAAAACTTATCTGCTACTGTAGTTTGGACCTGGTGGAGATGATAACCACCAACAATATGAACAAAGAAAGAAGCAAAGGTCGCAAGAACAAGCTGACATGAACAAGGTCAAAGGCACAATGAGTAGGTTTTAGAAGAAACTATGTATAGAAATAGAAATCCCTTTCGATATGTGTATAATATTTGTGGCATGTCTGTTACTGCAGACACTGCAGCCCTCTGCCTGTTTTAAACCTGTATATCAATCTCTATAAAAAACAAATTGATAAAAGTGCAAGATCGTAAGCACTGGCTAAAGAGAAAGCTACAAGAATGGTGGACACGGCACCAAAAAAAACAACACATATAGCAAGGTGAGATGTCAAGCAGACAAAGCTCGTTTCAAAATGAGATTGAATCTGGAGTTGACTTTCAACTGCTGATGTTCATTTAGTTGTGTTTACCATTGGCAACTAACACAACTACTCATTGTGGCTTTTAAAGAATAGGTTCACATTGTTTCAAGTCTGCCTTTAAACAATACTTGAGCACTAACAGTTATTTGTTTCTTCCTCTCTACAACAGGTATACAGGGGTCACCTGATACTGCTATTTGAATGTAAGACAGAGGGGACAAATTCCACTCTGTGAAGTCAAATCAAGTAGCTACCTTCTAAAAAAACAGAGATGTTTTTGCGAAATGTACTCGTTTTGTTGTGATGTCCCTACAGTTCAGCAAGGAAACACAAAAAGGAATTTGTTCAAGAACAATTATAGCAAGCAACATATATGTCAGTGGTCAGACTTGAAACCCTGTGAACCTACCCAGAAGATGTTAGCAAACAGAAAGAAGAAAACACAGATGTACCGTATGAGAGCTGACTGTCCGGAGGGAATGTGAAAAGTGGTCTTTGAGATCGTGTCCATTTTACATTTCAGAGAGTAATCTAAGAATGGGACCTACATTTGAACTAACGCTGCAGAGCACTGAATATGAAGCTTGATATAAATGCATAGGTGTGTATTATAATTTATCATAGATCTGACAGAATTGTATGAAATCTCATTTTCACATACTGTAATGATCAATACGAGTCAGCTCTATACAGAAATTGATAAACATCCTTTTTTTTGCTTGGTTTTCTGAGTTTCTACTGGAGTTAAAAATCAACCTCTGTATCTACATCGGTATCTAAAATCTACAGTTATTCACTTTTACCCTAAAAATGGAGATTTGGGAACCAAAGAGGGGATACCACAAAATATTGCCTGTTTGGAGAAATTGTGCCGGATGACAAACACATAGTCATAGTCGCACACACACAGTGTGTGTGTGTGTGTGTGTGTGTGTGTGTGTGTGTGTGTGTGTGTGTGTGTGTGTGTGTGTGTGTGTGTGTGTGTGTGTGTGTGTGTGTGTGTGTGTGTGTGTGTGTGTGTGTGTCACACACACACACACACACACTGGGCACCCACAGGGGCCACAGCAGGGGGCTCAGCAGAGGAAGATGATGGGAGAATGATAGTTTTGAGTCCGAAGGCAGCGTTTTGTTTCGTCGGAGGAAGCTTTAACACACAAACTCCTGTCTCATGCGGATGATCTGTAGTAAGGCGGCTTGGACGTCTTCATCCATGTGGCCCTGCGTGGAAAAAAGAACCAGAAAAGAGCTTCACATACATTTCTTTCGGTTTGTCACACAAGCCTTTAATGATCTGTTTCTCCTCAATAATAATGACTGCATGCTAACTACAGTCATGCAGATGCTGTTGTGGCAGCTCCCAATTACTTTCTGTTTCCATAAGGATGTTAGAAATGTATGACGACGAGTAACTTCATAATAACATCTGTGAAGGGAGGTTTACTTCATTAAATCATAAAAGTGTTGCAGGGAATGGCCATGGATCTACACCGTGCGGGTTACAGCTAAATGTATCATTCTACCTTCTATGAAATCAAGTGCGTTTTAAAATCATTAATCTCCTCATTTTCTGTTCACAATTAAATGTGCCCTTCAATAAAGATGATGAGGTGAACTTACCTGTGCTGCACTGAGAAGGTGCGTCCTATAAATGGAAACCACCTCCCTGTGTTGCCTCTCAGCATCCTAATGGAGCAGAGGAGAAAGAGAAGAAGACAACACAGTGGTTATTGTTAGCAACACATGCACAGTGGTGCTATTATATATGTTACGCCCAACTGTTAGGATAAGAACTGCAATTTTTAATTAGTCATGATGTTTGCTGGGAAAAGAATCAACATACATGGTGCGATCACTATTATAAATGAGTCACTTAGTACGTCTATGCTCCTGTAGTATTTTGGCCCTTTATGAGAACATTTTTATCTTCCAGAATATTTTACATTGTTTATATTTCACATACTAAACTAAACTTTTCATTTAAATATTATTTGTAATTGTTAATTGTTAGAATAGAATCCTTTATTGTCATTATATAGGTACAATGCAAAATAAAAGTATATATATCTATCTATCTACTTATGGTTGTTTTTAAAGCAAGGTCCCTAACTTTCTTAAACAGCACATTTACTAGATGTCTGGGCCCAATTCACTTATGACTCATGGTTTGAAGTAGATAACACAAGGAGAGTTGCTGTGCAGTTTATCCAATGAAATAAAAAGGAGAATATCAATGTTAACATGATTTCCATATGTCCACTCACAGCCAGCTGTTGCTGCAGGTTCTTGATCTGGGCGTGGAGTGTGTCGATGTGCTGCGTCTGCCTCTTGTTGGGCGCATTGCTTGTGATTGCCAGCTGGGACAGACCGTTCAGCGCCTGCTTCAACCGCTCAACATCTGTCAGCAACTCTGTGATCTGACACACAAATATTACAACATTACTTTATGAACCCTTAACCAAACTGAAAGAAGAGTTATATGCCTAGAAAAAGAAACAAACCAGATTTTCTTTCAAAGAAACCTGTTTTCTATCTACAGTATAGTACATTAAACTTGTTAAACACACATAATGCCTGCAAAAATAAAACTATGACAGGTGTTTACTACCTTCCTGTCTTTGGCTTCAGTCTGCTGCGCTGACGTCTGAATCCTCTTCTTTAGATCACAGATGGTGCCGAGCGACTCCTCGTATCGTTCCTTCAGCTCCCTCACTTCCCTCTCGATGACGCGTCCCTTCTCCGTGACCTCCTCCATCTCTGTGCGGGCCCTGCCCTCCCCCTCCCTGGCGTGCTGGGCCTCTCTGCGCGCCTCGTCTCCCCCCTCTGTGGAGCTCAGTAGTTTGCTGCTCAGGGCGTTGGCCTGCTCCTCCAGCTGCTGCTTCTCCTTCTTCAGCTGGTTGATTTGGTCTTCTTTGTAGCGGTGATTCTCCAGAGCCTGTGTGGCCTGCAGGAGCTCAGATTGCAGGGCAGACACATCTTCGGCTCTCTGGGCGTTGTTCTCCTCCTCTTCACGGAGAGCCAATCGAAGCTGGGTGACTTCGGCCTGCAGGGCATCCTGGGCCTCGGCTTGATGATGCAGCAGAGACGCTTGATCCCCGCGGCGTTCCTGAACCTCTCTCTGCAAGGCGCCCACCCTCTGGGCCTCCTCCTGCTGAGCCTCTCTGGCTTTCTTGCAGTCGGCCTGTGCGTGCTGCATGGCGTCATGGAGGGCTTTAAGCTCCGTGTCGTATGTTGCTATCCGAGTTAACTCTGCTTTCAGACGCTCCTGGAGGTTCTGGATCTGAGCCTTGCTCAGGGCCTTCTGCTCTTGAAGATCAGCCTTCTGAAGCGTTGCCTCCTTGTGCTGCCGCTCCAAGCTGGCCAACTTCTGAGTTAATTCCTCAATGTTACCCTTGAACTCTTTCTCCACATTCTTGTGCTTTTCACTGGCAGAGTCTAGTCTCTGTTGGACAGATTCACTCTCAACCTTTAGTTTGTCTTTCTCCTGTTGGTTGCCCTCATTGACAGACCTCTCCTTGTTATACTTCTCTTCTATTTCCGACAGCTTCACTGTCAACTCCTTCACCTTGGCACTGTGAGAGTGTTCCTTCTCCTCCGCCGCCGTCAGTGGGATGAACTTTGACAGAATAGCCTCCTGAATGGTATCGAGTTCTTTCTTCTGCGCCTCCAGTTCTTGGGTGAGCTTGATGGTTTCCTCCTGAGCGGACACATACCTCCCTGACACTTCGTTAGCTTTGTTCTCTGCCTCCACAATTGCAGCATTCAGCTTGTCTGCGATAGCTTTGTGTTCTTTTACACTTATATATTCTTTTTTCATCTCCAACAGGGCTTTGTCCAACTTTTCTTTCGACTTATCGTTTCCTTCTTTCATATTCTTTAATTCTTCTGCACTTTCTTTTCCCTTGGTCTCCAACTTCAATATCTCAGCTTTGGCTCTCTCCAAGGTGGAGCTCAACTCCATCTTCACTTGCTCGTGCTGCTGCCTGGGAACGTACTCTCCCTCCAAGCTCCGTTTCAGAGTCTGGCTCTGCGTGCTCAGCTGCACACACTCTTTATCTCTGTCTTCACATCTGCTCTGCAAAGCTTCAAGTTTCTTCATCATGTCGGCGTTCTGAGACCTCAGAGCGTCCATCTCACCTTGGTGTCTCTCGCTGGCGCTCTGCACACTGCTCACGGCTGTCTCCTGCAGCGCTATCCTCTCGCTCTGAAGCTGCTGGACTTGCGCCTCTGCTTTTCCGTAACGTTCGCTGGCTTCTACCAGTTTGTCCTCTAACTCCTCCAAAGCTGTCACCATGTTCCCCCGGGCTTCATCGTGCATCGTCATGGGTACGAAGTCGCTCTCCATCCTACTGTTGAGCTCGTCCAGCTGCTCTCGTAGTATATCCCTCTCCTCCTCACTCTCCTCCACCTCCAGAATGAGAGACTGGCTCCTGGTAGTCACGTCCACCAGTTTCCTTTTCAGAGAAGCATTCTGCTCTTCGAGAGCCTTCAGGATCCTCTGCTGCTCCTCAGCAGCCCCCGCTCCTCCCTGGGATGAGGGACTGTCCAGCTTTCGGTGGAGCTCTGCCACTTCCTCCAGCACGCGATCGTAGTCCTCCCTCAGCTCGGCGATCTGCCGTTCCTTCTCGTCGACTGCGTTGCTCAGCAGGTTCTTCATGTTGTCAAACTTCTCAGCTGGTACCGTGTGGCCCTGTTTAGCCAGGGTCTCCTTCAAATTGGTTTCCATTTCTAAAAAGGCTTCTGCTAGTTCATCTCTTTCTGCAGTCAGCGCCTGCAGATCTTGGTTCAGACTTTCTGCCTCTGTTGCCAGCTGGTTCTCGCTGCTCTTGTACTCCTCCAAGGCCTTCTCGCTCTGTTTCAGGCGATTACGAATGCGACCCACTTCGGCGGAAGCTCCTTCATACTTGGCCTTGATGTCCTGGAGCTGGGCGCGCAACTCTTCGGCCCCCTGGCCCCCCAGGTGTTCCTTAACAGCGACTACATGGGCCTGCAGCTGTTTAACCTTACACTCAGAGTCCAGCATCCTCTTCTGGACGTCGCCCAGGGCGTCCTCCAGCTCTTGGACCTGCTGGTCGGCCTGTTTCTGGATGGTGTCTCGGCTCTGGACCAGCTCCTGGTACTCTCGGTTTTTACGGTTCAGGGCGGATTGAAGCCGTGCCGCATCTTCATCTGAAGCATGCTGTCTCTTCTTGACCTCATCAAGTTCTTGTAGGAGTCCGTCCAGTTCCCCAGAGACTGCCCAGCCCACAGTGGACGGACCCTTCTCTGAAGATCTGGATAGCGAACGCGCCATGGGAGCATTCTTGAGCATCTGCAGAGAAAGATGAAATGCATATTAAATCAGCATTAATAGTCATTTTTATTTAAGCCCCTTCATTCAAAAGTTAAAAAGGTTCCTCAGCTTTCTTTGCCTTCTTAGTTGTAATTCTCTAGGGCAATGAGGATCTGAACAATGTATAAGCAGTTTCATTTGTATGCAGGTCCTAACTCAACACTGCATTTTAAGCGTTTGAAAGCCATGTGGAACTGTTCCACAGATAAACACGTACCTGATCAGAATCCAGGCTGTGAGCTTGTTTCACCAAAATGTTTTCTTTACCTGAAAGACAACAGGGTACAACATTCAAACTTCCTCATACTCTGCAGCTGAACGTTGAAATAATCTTAACAAATGTTTCTCAATACTTACCTTTGATGACAGACTGTCCAGAGTAATCTCCCTGTGAAACAAACAGATACACATACTCAATATAAGTGTTTGGGGCTTTTTAGACGGATATTATTTTGTAAGACTTTTTAGACTTACAAAATATTTTTTCTTTTCTTTTTTAAATCTACTGTCTAGTTCACTACAGTCATTATCCTTTTTAGAACCTAAACCAAACATACAGTATGTTTTAAGTCTGAATGATATCATATTTTGATATATTGAGGAAAAGAAGGCTCAAAGTAGAACACGTTTATAAATTCACTGACCAAAGTACTCCGGAGCTGGACTTTGACCGTCTCTGGGCCTCGAGCCCCTTCCTCTCTTTCTTTGGTACCACGTAGCACTTTCAACTGGTCCTTCTGATCCAAGAGGAAGGAAAAACAAAGCACATCAAGAAATGATTATATTGAATTATTGAGAGATGGCAAACACACAAAATGACGCTTTACGAAATAAGTAAAAAAGCTTAAAATTAACTTTTATTTACTTATCATTGTATCATGTATCATTCATCAGTTTAGGAAAAATTGATCTTATTCATGATATATAGAAGGGCATGCATCTGATTTATATGTATGCACAAAGATATGTGAGAGGTTCGTACGTTTTTGTGATTTTAAAGCTCTTTTGCCTTACTTCCAGACGAAAACATCATTTATTTATAGTGTGTTTTAGGAAGACTATTTTCTACTATCCTGAATGTGTGGACCCGGTAAGATGTTATTAAGTTAAGTAAGTAACAATCGAGTTGCATTCAAACTGTGACACCTCCCGTTTTCTTTCCTTCACTTCCAACAGCTCTGTGTTGATGCAGCACCACTCACTTATGTTTAGGTCTCAGAGGTCATACAGTAACTTAACACTGTCTCCACACCACACTAATGACTGCTACGGCTGAATAATAATGACACGTTCAATACAATGTGTGTCAATGTTCTTTAAAACAAATGTAACCAAGGAAACAATAGGGAAACAAAACAATTGATAATGAGGCAAACCATGTCCAATAAATGCTTTACTTCATACCTCTTTCTGAGTGTCTCCTACAGTGATCTTTTCCTGTAGATGAATACAAAGAGATTGTAAATACAGTCAATTGAGTTATTAATAACCGACAATACTCCAATACAATTGAATGTTGTTAGATATTATTCTGGCAGCTATTACTGAGCAATCTATTATGCTCACTGAAAAAGAAACACATGAGATTAAAAACGTATGATGAGGAAAATAAATAAAGAGAGCTCGACTATTTCTCGGCTTTTATATTGTATATTTGATTATACCTCACTAGACCTTTAGTTTAGGACCCTCAGATCTACCCACCCACAGATATAAACAGTATTCAAATGAGAAACATGCATGTTTTTTCACCTGTGTGAGCTGTTGCTGCAGCATGTTGACCTTATCCAGCAGGGCTCTCTGATCCTGTTGGTATTTCCTGAGATTCTCCTGCAGGCCCTCGTTCTGCCTCTCCAAGTCCTGAACAAACGCCAACACACACACACAACCATAAACCATACAAATTTGAACCAAGTTAAATCCAATTACTGTCATAAAAATAAGAAATCAATCACTTCTTTATGGACATTGATGTCCTAATGACTCATTCTTAAACAATAAATGAGTAATTGTGATTAATAGGCTGGGAGGCTGAAGTTATACAGCACTTACATGTATGACCTGATCCCTTCGGTTAACCTCAGCTGCCTCTGATTTCTCCACTGAATGCTGAGGAGGAGACGGGATCTTTTTAACGACCATGTTTTAAAGATATAACATTACCATAGGCTATACACACCTTAGTAACAACTCTCACTTTAAATCACTAGATGGCAGTCATGCATACCTGAGCGGCTGTGTTCACAAATTTGCCACAAAAAATATTATATAAAATGTGGAAAAAGTGGAAGAACATGCAGAATCTCGAGGTGCCAGAAGTCTAAGCATTTGAATGCTGTAAAGAAAGAATTCTAAAGTGTTAATGTCAATAATGGCTTCTGGGTGCAAGCAACCCTGACCTTTGACATCTTTTAACAAAAGAGACTGTGGATACAAGACGTCAGTTTATTGCTATTCTCATCATGCTTCATAGACATAAGTCCTATAGATTAGAATATGTAAAGCATAGAGAATAAAGCTGATTTTTGATAAAGGTGGGGTTTGATGGATATGGTGCGTCAGTAAGGCTGCAGGTTTACCTGTCGCTTCCACTGTTCCATCTTTGCAGCCTCCTTATCTGGAGAAAGCAAGAAAACAGCAAGTTCAGACTTCCTCCTACGTTTTATCAAGATTGGACAAAAACAGGTATGTTTACAGAGCAGTGTGACAATAAGGAATGCACACAAGAAGGCAAAAAATGCATCAGAAAATATGGTCACAGGAAATGATTGTAAAGGTCAATCCTATGGCTCAAAATATTGTGAGATATTAAAACTGAAAATTGTTGAAAACACCTAAAGACATAGAGACATGAAAATAAAAACCCATACAGAATAATGCGACAATATTTAAAATCTGCAAAGACAATCATTCGAAATTCTACCTAAAAAGCAAAACATCCTCAAGGTATTAGCTGTTTTTGCATGCATGTATGTATTGTTTCCACATCTTTCCACAAGTGTAATCTTAAGGTACAACACTGCAGATATTATGCTCTCCATCTAAAATCACCTTTCACTATAAACAGAAAATATATACAGATTATCTTTATTAAACAAATGGTGAGGTTAGTTTAAAAATTACGACTTCAGTGGATTTTAAAACAGCACTTCCTGGGCTACCTATCTACAGGCTACAATTTAAGAAGTTAACCTTCCTTTCTGCTCTACACGTCTGATGTCTGTTTTTTGCTATAATCATGCAAATGTTTTTTTTCAAACAAACTGCTCCAATACTCTTATTTTCTGTCTGACTCTGACCTCTGGTGGATTTGTCCAGGTAACCTTTGACCATCGCAACAAGCTCCATGTTCTTGCTGATGCGAGCGTAGTGGAAAGCGTCGTGACCTAAGCTGTCGACTGCCTTCACGTCAGAGCCGCTCTTCAGCAACACCTCCACTGCATCCTTACAGCTGTACTCGCAGCCCAGGATCAGCGCAGTCCTGAGGGGGTCAACAAACAGAGTTCATGAGGAAAAACATTCACAAACTAGCTATGGAACAAGTATGTAGCAAAAACAACAATTCACCTTTTATTTGGTTTAAATTATTTAAAGCCGGGCCCTATTTGTATGTCCCCACATGGAGTTGTTTTTCTAATTCATTTTTTAAGAATTGTTTTTGTGTTAAAAAAGCTGATGAGAAACAATACCATACACATTGTTGATGATACATTTAGGACATTCTCAGGCACTCATATGTTTTAAAATGTATGAAATCATGACACTACTGCAATCTATAGAAAAGGCTCTAAATAGTGTGACTCTTTGTAAATGTTTGTATTGTTTGAAAGATTGTCACTGCAGGGAACTCTCCATGAATGATTATTAAAATTGTCATTTGCCAAGCCTTCAGAGACAAACACCACCATGGGGGGGGGGGGGGGCTTTCTTACTTGTTCTGTTTGTCGCGGGTGGTGAAGTCGGCCCCTCGCTCCAGCAGGAGCTGACAGATACGTGGATGACACATCTGGGTTGCCAGTACCAGAGGTGTCCTGCCATCCTGGAGAAAAACAAAATACACAAGCAGAAATGAACACATGTACACCCATCCACAAAATCACAGGTATGACAGTGCCATCCAAAAAATCCATTTGTAGAAAGGATCACAATAGAGAGTGCTCATTGGAGCTGACTGAATTCGTATTTAGTGAAAAGCTTTTTGTGCCTGTCTAACTGACCTTACATGAAAAGGTAAAAGCCTTTAAGGAGAATATCAAGATCAATATTCTTTTCTACAATGATAACTGAACATCTTAGAAGAGGCCATTAGTGGAGTGTAAGAATAAATAAAATCAATGCTCACAAAATCAGTGGCATTCACAGAAGCGCCGCTGTCACAGAGTAGTTTCACACTGGAGGAGCAGCCAGCCATGACTGTGGGGGAAAAGAGTGAAAACGACTGCAATCACATTTATCGCTGAGATATACATCCATCTATCAGGTCGAGCCACAGCATAGACCAGGTTTACATGCTGAAAATGTGAAAAGCATCACAAGCACATTTTCACATTATTATACCAGAACCTTTTGTGTAAGTTGGAAGATATTATCATCCATGTGAGCATGACATCCTCTCGGCTAAGGGGCTGAAAATATAGTCAAAGAGCTGTCGGGGTTTTCAATGATTTTAAATATTCATTACTAAGGTAAGTCAAATAAGGTAAACTAGTTAATGAGGTAAACATAGGCAGCGACAGGGAGGAGGACGAGGCTGCTGTAGCTACCATTAGTAAGTCCATATATTATATTTTAATGTATAAATCAGAGCATTAACAATAGTCACTGAAAATCAGGGAGAGGCACATAGAAACAGCTGTTTGACGCAGGTTTGCCTCTCTCTCTCTCTCACCGACTGTCCCTCAGTCCTGTACATCACGTACTGTTTCAAGGCTGTTCTGCATATTGAGATGCACCCTCTAATTTAGTCGTAGTCATTTCAAAAGCACAAACAAATGATGTTGTAAGGGGCTCTTGCTGTAGTTGCCTTAAGGAAGCCTTTTTTTCAGAGCACCTGCATTGAAAAGTAAAGCAACTCTGCAGCAACAGATAAATAAAAAGTGTAGTGGACTCAAGTCAGTACTAAGGTAAAGTAGTATTTGTAGTAGAGTGAAGTTAGAAACTGAAGAGTGGAGTTAGGACTGGGGTAAATGATAGTTCAGTCAGTTTCAGAGTAGAGTCTTACCAGCATCATGTAGAGCTGTTCTTCCTTGTAGGTCCACATTTCCAACTGGACTGTTGTGCTGCAAAATAACAAAGAAAAGTTAGAACAACTAAATCAAATGAAGCAAATTATTTTACTTGTGCTGATACATGTACTGTATAGATCCATGAGCAGTGAAAATATATATTGGTAAAATAATCAAGTACAATATTCATTTAAGATCCATAGTCCTACGCATTGGCAGCATTGGCTGATTAGTGAAATGAACATGAAAATTGATGTTCACACAGTAGAGTAAAAAGGCACGGTGCCATTCTTCAAAGCACACAAAGGACCCAATTATACATTTTGAGATCCAATTAAATAATGAGTCTACTTGATATGATAGTGTTGATCCACTAGTGGTTGGCCCTCTTCATTATAGCTAATTAGCCAACTCCATAGATCAACAAAAGCAGAGTGGAAAATTATTTTGGCTTGATTTGGTTGTTTTTGAGTCATTGATCCTAGGCCTGATTTCCTTTATTCAAAGTTAGAAAAACTAGAAACTATTTAACTACTAAGTGAGGTTGGAGAGCCCAGAACTCTTACAAGGCTGTTTCAATAGAATAAATGACTTTGTGTATCTGCCTCGTGATTGTGTTCCCCTCCCAAATGTAATGGGATCTTTCCTGGCCACACATTTCCACCAAGCTAAAACATGTTTTCCTCTACCCTGCTGACAGCCAGACAAACAAACCACAAGGAAAACATCTTATTTTAATTGACAATAAAATCATTTCAGTGATATGGATCAGATGAATGAAAGACTCTACTCCAAAAAAAGGGAAGACCATGGTTGACTTCTTTTAAAAAAGCGTTTAATAATTGTTCAATAATGTAGTTGTGAAAGTAAATAATAAATGTTCACAGTGGAGACTGCGAGGCAACAGTGTGCAGGTCACTTTAGGCTAAGTGGCGCTGCGCTGATTTGCTTATGACATCTCTACCCAGGCATTCAGGAGAGTAGGACTGCAGTGATGAGGGTCCGCTATGAAAGCCTTGAGGACTCAATGCTAACGGGGGCCCCATGTTGCTGGGTAGGCTTGGCAGGGAGCTCAGGCCTCCCCTAAAAAAAAAAACTCTCTCCAGCAACAAGGGCCAAAATTGAGCAGCGCTCTCAAATGACAAAGCGCAGAGGAGGGGGGTGTAGAGCAGCAACGGGAGCTGACGGTGGAGCACGAAGGGGGGGGGGACATCCTACACCTTGAGGGTTCGGGCTGACTGAGGGAGATAGTGGAGGTGGAGGGTGTTGGCGTCCAGCTGCTATGTCTGGTGTGATGACGGCACCCAGAATGGACGGCAAGTTTGCAGCAGGGCAGGCTTGTCAACACCAGCGACAACCCGCCTGCCAACAGCAGAGACCTCCGTTAGATCACCACCCTGAGAGAGAGAGGTGTGGGTGGGGGAAAGGGCAGGGACGCTGTGAGAGCACAATATTGCAGAGATAGCCCCCTGATTGTAAACACATAAATCCCCCAGAGGGGCACGGTGACTCAACAGGGCCGACTGGTGACCGATACGGAGTGGGCTCAGCTGCCAGAGCTCTATGGCAATAATTATTTAAAGGAGCGGAGAGAGAAACTGCTCTGACTGGCCAGTGACTGGGACGCTGCTCTGCGCAGAATACATACAGTAGAGTCCAACACACCAACATGAGGAGCAAAGTGAACCAGCTAGAATAACCACCTTGCGATAAAATGCCTCAGCCAAACAGTAAAGATGCTAAATCTCTCCACCACAATACATTTCCATTATTGTAACCCCTTTTACATTTTTTATAAATTGTCATAATAAGTCTGCATAAGTGGCCAAAAATAGTTTTTTTGAGGTCAAAGCTGCCTTTGATCTACAAAAACAAAACAAAAAATCAAGGTGGATCAAATTTGAGGACACTTTTCTCCAGGCGTACCGACAGACGAACATACTCACAACCAAATAACATAAAGCCAAACACTTTATAAACCAAAAAATCCCAAACATATGAGATCATATCGTGCAGTTTGGCAAGTTTTGGTTCACAGAAGTATATATTAGTCGGGTACAAATAGTGTTAGAGATGCACTTTACCTGCAAGAGTTTCTGCACACACAGAGAATGTCCATGTCTTGATGACAGATGGAGAGCATTTTTACCTGAAAGGGATAAATGCAGCAATCAGAAAATGAAATAGATTCACAATCAGGAGATGGTTTTGTAAGCATTTGTACAAAAAACAATCACTTAACAACCCTTCATAAAAGGTGCTTTAAAGTCATAACCATACTGTGGGAAATCGCCCAAACAAAAAGCTACACAGCACGTAAGACCATGCTTGTATCACTTTGACAACTCAATGTTCTTCTAAAATATATTTTTCTTGTAACAAGCAATGTGTGAATCTTTCTGCTGATGCCACACACCTAACCATCATGAGTTTATTGAGTGCATTACTGTCTCAAGCTGTTTGTTAAACCCCACACCGCGAGTATTGATCCTAGTGTGTCGTTTAACAGGCACAGATTGACAACAAATAATGTACAGGACATACACAATACATAATGTACCAGATTCAAATGCACATCAAGCCCATTACTTTTCATGCGCCTGGATATATTCGTATCATTTTGAATAACAAAGTCCACTTAAAGTCCATGTCACTGTGACAATAATATTTCTCAGTAGTGCCCAAAACCAGGATTGGATAGTTCATCAACAAAAATGAGCCCTCTCACTAGATTACCATTTGCACATTTCCAGTCACATTTTCAGGGGTGCTCAACCATGCACGTTCATTTCCAATATCTTATCTGAAAGGCTCTTTTGGTCGATCTGTTTCATTTGCTGAAAGTTTACTTGCTGGTATAACAATCTACGTGTTTATTGTGTCTTCACTAGCTGACTGTTGATGTTGAAGAGCTTATTGACATATTTCATTTCATTTATAATATATCATTGGTTTGTATGTCATGCAATTATATTCTGTTCCCAACATGAAAGTTATGGCAAAGTGTAAAAATGAGACCAGAATGCTACCTTTTGAAAGTAGGGATGAGATCACTGCATGTCTCTTTTTCATTATTCAGCCTAATTGCACATCCCCATTAATGAATACAATGCTAATCAGCAATCTGTTTCTTTGAATCAACTACTCAGACCACTGATAACACCAATGTTCTATGTATGACATCCTCCTCTCCCTCCTCTTAACAGGAAATAGGGTCTGGCACAAGTACCGTAACCTACCTTAATTTATTATTTGATGATGTGGAAATAACCTTAAGTCTACACTATGTTGTACAACGTGCACAATGTGGTTTATTTTCACCTATTAAGACTTTGTATGTGGTACAAGTCTAAATAAACTGTCCAATGTTTTTGCTGTTGCTGCAAACTGTTTTAATATTATCGTAAGTGTATCCTTGTTGACATTTTGGAGATGGACAAAATATTAAAAACACATAAAAGTATATAACTAAAGCTCCAGGTTACTGCTTTCATCAAACCTGAACTCACCCGTGGCATCAGTCGCAGTGACATCCACGCTGTGTCCCAGGATGAGGTTAAGACACTCCAGGTGTCCTCGCGTTGCAGCCAAATGAAACCTGCAAAACAAGAAGGTAGATGAAGGAATAATGAGAGAGGAAATCAGACAGAAGGAGTTGGAAATGAGTATATAGCAAGTAGTAAAGAAGGGCAAGTGAAAAAGCGATAGGGTGTAAAGAGAAGGGGGGTGAGGGTGAAACTTAAGGACAAGAGAGGGACTGGGAAAGGACGCCTGGCTCCTTGCTATCAGCAAGATCAGCATTCTTGAATCAAATAACAAGAAACCTCAGAGTCTGTTGTGAACCCAAGGCGACTAGGAGCTACACACAAACAGCATTGCCAATGTATCAGCTTCCTTGTTTCATTGCCAAGTACTGTCACATGGTAATTAGTGACGACCTGCATGAAAAGGTTGAACAAGTCTTAATCACCCTTTCTGTAACCCCTGTTTGTTTCTATTTGTAAACGTAGACACATTTTAAAATTACAAAATGAAAGTGTTCATATCAGTTAAGCCTTAAAACTTAATCCAACATTGACAAGAAGTCCTTAACAAAAGAAGATGAGAACTGGACAAACTCTACGTGCCAATGAGGATCAAATCATTTGAGTGAATGCTTGAGACGAGCTGCCAAATTAACCTGGATGTTTTGATTGTTAGTCATTTGCCACAAAGTTAGCATAGTCCTTACTTAATTAGGGAGTTTCATACTCTCTATGCGTTAGTCAAAATAACTTTAAACATTACTTTTGCCTGGAAACATTCCCGTTTCCCCTCTTGAACTCACCCCACAGCAGCACTGCCACCCCCGACCATCAAGGTCTGCAGAGCACTTGTGTGTAAACCAATCTCAGTCTGTCACCCATCGAGCTGCATGGACCTGTTTATACACTAACCCCGAGGTATCTGCCAAGGAGACAGCTAGGCTGTCACCTCAACACTGCCGCGGGTATTAAAAGCAGTGTTGATGGCCAGGAGATGCCGGTCCTCTGGGGAGCAGCGAGGGTCCCGACCTCTCGGAGCAAACGGCAGACAGGAAGCCGAGCAGAGCTATCCAAGTTAGTGGGATTTTACCGAGTAATGTCTCTGACCTGAATTAAAAACCCATAATGGCAGACTTGAACTATGGGTAAGGGATTTTCTCTCTGACGAATAACAATGATGATCCCTGTGACAGTTAGTGGCACAGCTACCAAGATGTTTAACACTGAAAAGGGATGGTTGTGAACTGTGAAGATATATTCTGCTTACCTCATTACAATCCTTAGAAAGGAAATGTAAGAGACTAATGAGTCGGGCTTAAGCAGAGCACATTTATTTTCTTGGACTTATTGTTCGTCACTTTGGATAAAAGTGTCAGCTACATGTAATGTAATTTCATCTTCACACCTGCTCCTTGGGCGACTTTCAGGTTGACAGACTACAGGAAACGGTTGCTATATTTAGAGAGCGTACAGGGAAGAGTAAACTAGAGAGTATGTGCTGGTGGCTGAACCATATACAGTGAATGGTTAAGTGTGTCTCTAAAGGCAAAACAGTTCAATACTGTGACTGTTGGAGCTTCTCATACTTCTAAATCCTACTCTGTTATTTCTGTCACACTTGTTTGACCTTTGGTACACATTGTTTTAAAAAGTCTGCAAGTCTTCTGATGCATGCCAGTAGGAAGCCACAACATTTATAATATCTTAGTTGGAAAGCTAAACGCTTGGTTGCAAGATAAACTTTTAAGCAGCATTATTCATTTTTAACAATGTTTTCCAACACATTGTACATTAACAGCCACTCAAGTATATTTAACTTAAGCACTCTTTATTTTTTTTTATCTACATTTATCAAGAAGAACGACCCCACCCAAAATCAATTAACTAGCCAACAAGTACTGACAGGACACCATTTCACCCCTGGCCCTGGCATAACTTAAGCGTTCATTCAGCTCTATGGAAGTGAGATGGAGCTGGCTTGCCCCAGCAATTGATTCACTCAACCCCTCCTTCTGCTCCCCAGTGAACTAAAGTCCATTAATGTAGCTTTAAAGAAAACATAAATCCCCATAATCCTTTCAATGAACCCATGTTTTCTGAGCTTTTTTTTTTACAACACAGCATGTTTTGCAGTTGCCTTGAAAAAAGCACAATGAATTGAACATGCGATGGGCGCGCAGCAGTGCCTCTACTCAGGGCCAGTTTCCTGCTGCAGGGACTTGTGAGCGGTGGCTTGCTGTGATGTGAACTTCTGTTTGCTGCTAAGCCCTTGTCAGCTAGCTATCACCACTGCACAGAATGAGCAGGTGTGATGTATGGGCTAACCTCACTGGGATCCAGTTAATACCAGGGCCGATTTGTAAACTGTTTACTCAGCTGGAAGCAGCGATAGAGCAGTTGGAGCTGAATTCATTAGCTGAACACAGTGAGGCTAATCCAGGGCAAACCAAATTATATATTAGGGCTAACGGTTTGTAATTAGTTTCCCCACAGAGGTCCATGATTACAAGCATCACCACTCAACATTCCTATGTTGGCTTTTGCAGAGGACAGCTAGCTAACGACACGTGTTGGTCTGTGTGTGGCCCGCTGTACTAAAAGCAGACTTGCTGAGTTGCATTTGCGGTTGACTTTTGTTTTGGGTAGTCTTGGCAAAAGCGTGACCTCTTTTAATACATTTTCAATGTGTTGATTTTATAGTTGTGGTCCGCCCTGCAGGGGAACACTAAATGATGTGTGTGCATGTGTTTTGTTTACAAAAACCCTTACAGTCACTGGATTTAGTTCAGACAAATTCTAGCACCTTATTATGAGACCAGGCATTTATCAGGTTGTGTGTACACATGTATACAATCATTGGTCTGTCCAATGGTGCCACAAGATAATTCACACACTGCTTAAAATACTCTGCACCTTTGCTTGTGCGCTCTGTGGCTCCATAGTTTTATGCTAACAAAGCCTTTATGAAAATAAATCTGAGGCACAGGCCAGAGTTCTACCAGGGACTTCTTCATATATCTAGGATTAAAGGAGGGCGCCGAGCCTCCCAAAACACTTGTGTTGGAATCTGGTTACTTTTAGCAATATAACCAGGTAACTGCTTTTTTAAACAGCTCAACGCAACATTTCACCGATATATAAGTAACAGAACCATAAAAAGAGATCTGTATAAGATAATTAAATGTTTTGGATCAGCTTTGTTCATGTTTCAGTTAAATTGACCTACTTTTCTACCCACAACTTACATTTCAACCTATTTCAATCTTTCTGTTCTTGTAATGACACTTGATAAGGGGGTGAATCCAGCTCTTAGCAAAGCAAACACGATTCAAAACCTGAGGTTCCCACAGAAAGATTCTAGCATACAAAATAAGGTTCTTGAAGATATCAATAGATCCTGATAATAGCCTGCAGCTGGGCCAAAATGTATTACTTTCTGTTTCAAGCCTCACAGTGGCTCAGATTTGAACTAACAGGGAGTCATTTCCTGTTGGGACTACATAAACAGCCTCCAGCCAATGTGCTCCAGCCTTCAGCGGCCACAAACATTCTTTACGCCAGCTCCCACACTGACCTCTAGTCAGATGGACACCAAAAGAGACACTTCAGGACATAATAATGGACACATGATAATATGCATCTGCAATGCCTTCCAGATGCAGAGCAGCTGGGTGAAGGTTTGAGTCTGAAATGTGCATGGGGGTCAGTTCAGCCAAGGGAAATCTTGGGTCATGCAGGGTGACTTTTAGGCCAGAGGGAAAACTGTTTTTGCGCAAGAGATTCTAAAGAAATGTCCATCTAAGGATGCTTTATCTGAGTAACAGGGGTGGGAATGTGCTGCGGGAAGACCACAACAATGTTTGGAATTTGTGACATTCAGCATTTTTAGATTTCGAAATATTAAAACATTTATAGTTTGTAACAATCAAGACAAAACAATGTAGACACACTGAACATGTATGTGCTTATGTATGTTTTTATACTCTAGATGTGTGTGTGTCCGTGTTTACTCACGCTGAGCGCCCTTCAACGTCGAGCTTGGTTGGGATGATGCCCTTCTTGCTGAGAACAGCAGCCACCTTGTCCAACTCTCTGCGCTCCACGGCCTTCATCAGCCGGTCATCATACTTGTTCCAGTCTGTGTTCTGACAATGAGGAAAGTGAACTATCAGACACACAGTATTTTTGACAGTATTTACCAAATCGAACAGTTAAACAAATATTTGTCCAAATACCTGCTTAATTTAAAAAAAGAAAGTCATAACTATAATTTGGTTCCCAGTCATTTTGGCTTACTAATAAATACAACAGGGACATATGCTTAGGAAGTCTATTTGTGACTTAAAGACAACATACATACCAGTAATGTAATTTGTCCTTTTGTAGTACAATAATAGACCCAACTTAATGCAGAATAAGCCAAGAATGTGCTGTGCTGCAGTTCCACTATCCCCCCTCCCTGAGTGATGGCTGTTAAGCATGGGAACAGAGTACTTTTAGGGCTTCTGGGAGGCACACTTTAAGTATGGAGTCTTAAACAGGACGTCAAATGAACAGACACACAAGAACACATTTTAAACCTAACTGATAAGCATTTGTATGTACATAGCACCATCGCACACATAGGCAATAAGAACATATTTAAACCACAGACATGTGACAGCACTCACAATATACTGTATATACAAGTACTCTTTTGTTATCACAAAACATTCATGTAAATCCATTTGTAGACAAAGCATGAAATCAGAAGAAAGAGTAACAATACAATAAATCACAGTGACAAACTTAAATACTGACAATGAATACCTACAAAGTGCATGGAGGTGCATTTCAGCCAGCGGCTCATCTTGGGTGAGTGGAGCTGGTCCTTGCACCGTGCTACTGAAAAGGTCGCCACTGTTGCGGTTAACGAAAGCAAAAATAGAGAGAAAAAAGTGTATAAAAAATCCCCTCAGTCTTTCAGTGCACTCAACCAGTGAGTGCACTGAAAAAGAAAGACAAGACAGAAGGGTGACAGTCTACTGCTGTGGAGGTTCAACCTCTGGAGTTTCCCTCAGTTGAGGAACAAAAGTTCATTTGGCAGGATTTTCTAAGCATTCCTGTGTTTCTCACGGGCTCAGCCTGAGAGTTCATCACTGCACAGCAGTGTGGTTGATGGTTAAAGGGAGGAGAAAGAGGAGTGAGAGGAGGAAGGAATGGAGGTGGAGAAGCAGTAGGGCCAGCCCTGCCAGCCCTGGGACCTGCCCTGGCCGGCAACTGCAACTCCTCCTCGGGGGGGAAAGTCAGCTCAGCCTGGCTACCTCTTGCCTCCCCCAAGTGCCTCCCCCTCTATTCTCGCCTTTATCCTCAAACCTTGGGTTCAACTGTTCTTTTGTTTTTCTATGTCTTCCTCTTCTTCTCTGGGTTGTTTTCTATCTGTAAAAGCTGCAACCTACTAGCTTAAAAGTAGCAACTAAAAAACTCTCTTCCTCTTCTCTATGAGTGGTCTCCAGCGTCTTCACCCACCAAATGGCAAGTCAGTCAGGCTCACTGGGGTAAATATGTAAGCTCTCGCAGGTTTTAAATATCACCCCCTCCCCGGTAAACAGCGGTGGTGCAGACAGCCCTGCAGACTGGTTACCTCTTTATTTTTTGACCCTCCAACCTTTATGTAGTGACTGATAGGAAGACAGGGGCTAAGAATACATTCTGGACATGCCTGCACTGTGAGTAATGGCTTTAGTGTCTCTCACCACAGCCAGCATGAAACAAGGCCAGCCAAAAAGACCTTGCTTACATTGCCACCCCCCACTGTGCACCCAGCTTGCCTCCATCTGAAAATATTAATGTCAGAGGGGGATTATGGTTTGCACATTTGAAGTGGTCTCGGCAGTGACCCTCACAGGACGCCAGCGGGGCCAAGTGCTGCTGTTAACCCATCCATCTAAAGAGGGTGGTGGGGCTACAAAGCCCCCTGATCCGAGCTGCACAGGAGCAAGGCTAGATGTCAGACTCTTTACAACCAGCTGTCTGCAGCCCCACCAAAAACTACAACTACCCTGTCTCTTCATTTACGCTAATACCCACACACACTTTAATAGTACAACCTTTTACTTTTTTAGGTAAACAACCCAGGAACAAACAGGTACAGATACAGCCAGGAACGGGTTAATTTACCGCCTGCATCAGCTCCCTGTAGCCTCGTGTTACTGCCTGCTGCCAGACTGGCGTTAACAGAGCGGCACTGATCCACTAACATGCAAAAAGACCTTCTCCGCATGACATGTCATATGAAGAAGTCGGTCTCAACTTACGAAAGCTGCTCGCCCTAGCATAGAGACAAAGGCGCCAAAATGGCACCTAGCCACGCAGCATGCTGGACATTGGTCACTTAAATATCTCACATGGGTGTGTACGTGTGTACGTGTGTACGTGTGCCTATTTGTTTGGGAATCTAGTTAGCAGGCAAGAGTGAACACTGCAGTAGTAACTCACTTATTGACACAATCATACATACTTATATGCTTGTTGGATGCTTGATAATTGGTGCCTTCATAAAATATTTGGTCATAGCTATTTGTAAGTTTCGTTTTTACGCAGAGTAGTTAAATGATCTAAACTTAAATCACGTAACTGCAGCCTTTAAGAGCAGGAAAGATGATGACGAGAACACATGACGATATCTAGTTTCATATCATGACGTAAATGTATCTCCCTGCTTGACTTTCATATGCTGGAATAATGCCAAGAAATGTAAGCACATGAATATGTGTAAAGTTTATTTTAGGTGACTGAGTTCAACAACATTTAATCTAAGTTGTGTAAGGCTAAAAAAGCCTGTCTTACAATACATATGTTGGTAAATATGTTCATTGTTTTGTGAGTTTAAAAGTCACTTAAATATTTCAAAGGAATGATGGTATAATATCAGTGGATTATGAAAATGAAATCGGTAGACCGCATTCCCATGGGCTAACATCTGAGATGTTCAGCAACAGGAACAAAAGAAGGTTTATAAAGGACCGTAGTTCAGTCGGTTCATGCTATTATTTTCTAATTTGCACCAAACAGGAAGTACAGGTGAGGCTGATGAGAATGTAATGTCCCTCTGGGAATATGGACCAAATTTGGGAAATGTAGAGATATTGCGTTGTTTTCGAAGGAAGTGAACCAGCCATTCAATTAACCTTGCCATCACTAATGCCACACTGGTAGAGAGGCTTCAAAAAAGAGAGGGGCTGTTATATGCAGAGAAGTCAAATAGAAAATGTAATATGCTATTATTACAATAATAATTGGCGAATTCGAAAACAAGCTGTCCTGGAATTGTACCTTCCCCTGAGTCAATTGCGTCATAAGTTGTTGATGTCGTTGCAAAGCAGTCATCCCTTGCTGCGTGCAACTGAAACAAACAAATTACCTAAAGCATCTATTTAGACACAGTGACCTTCAGGACAAAACATCACCTGACACTGGATGAGCCAGTTTAGACTTCTACCTGTCCACACAGATTATTTTGGGTGTCAGATGGAGACTGTTGTCATCCTCAGGTTTTCCATCACTGTCTGCGGACTGTAACTCTTTCCAACACCTCAGTTTCCTGCCTCGCTCGGACCCTCCGCCAGACTAATGGTCCTCTAATGTCCTCCCAGATGAAATCATCAGCAGGAAATATAAAACTGGTCATCTGATAACAGCCCAGAGCAAAGCCAAAACATAAAGCTGTATGCCAATATGTCAAGTAGTAGTGGTGTCCGATGCCAAACTACTCATGTGGTTTCATAAGCTTATGGTAATGAGGATGTTTATGATCTTAGGAGACATAGTGAAGAGACGTTATGTCATGAAATGAAATCCTTTGACATTTGCAGTGAGGGGGTGGGGGGGGATAGGTATCTAGAAGTACAGACCATTTACAGTACTTATTTGTAAGATAAGTACTTTACATTATGGATCAAACCTAATTTGCCTGAAGGACAAGTTCTTAACTCTTTGTGTTCATATTGGCCACTAAGGGGTATTACCTTCTTAGCGTGACTGCCATGAGGAAGATAACCAAGTCCTGGTTTTGTGAAAGATGCAATAAGAAAGTAATCTAAAGCTAATATGAGATTTCAGAAAATCAAGGTGTCTTTCAAATGTAAACGTTTTTAGCACCACTTTCTGTGATTGGACCACACAATTCCCTTAACAACAGATGAGCAAGAAACACTATCTGTGGAAAAGCAAGGATGGAAATGAATACGACAAATACTTGACAATACCTCCTTAATAAACAATACCTCCTTAATAAACAATACCTCCTTAATAAACAATACCTCCTTAATAAACAATACCTCCTTAATAAACAATACCTCCTTAATTAACAATACCTCCTTAATAAACAATACCTCCTTAATTAACAATACCTCCTTAATAAACAATACCTCCTTAATTAACAATACCTCCTTAATAAACAATACCTCCTTAATAAACAATACCTCCTTAATAAACAATACCTCCTTAATAAACAATACCTCCTTAATAAACAATACCTCCTTAATAAACAATACCTCCTTAATTTAAAAAAACCAGGACTGTAGACATCCTCTCCCACCCCTTATCTATTACATGTTAGTCATGCTTGAAAGAGATAATTACATGGCCAGAGTTGAAGAGAAATGATTACAGCGACCATTTATTCTTACATTGTGCATAGAGGCGTAGGATTGTTGTCAGGCAGGCTTTGCAGCTCTGAATCCTTTAATGCCTATTTTGGTGTGATGATGATGCAGACTAAACTGCTTAATTTGGATTCTCAAAACTCCAAGACACAGCATGCCATTACTATCAAATTATAATTATATTGTGTCCACTGTTATTCAAATGTTACATAACTACAACATTAGATGTAGAACATGGCTCTGTGACCACCACAGTGTCATATTAAGTGTTCACAGTGATACAGATTACACACAAACATTGTTACATTGTTATAGTTGAGCTCTAAGATTAGATACTGTGTCCAACCTCTACATGCTAACATGGCGAGGCTGATGGGGTGTTCATTCATTTTGCAGCTATTTGGTCAGAAGTGTGGCGCTACTTTATTCTGATTTGAGGTAACTGTTTATATTTGTTGTATCATTAATAACTAGACATACCGGTTTGTGACATTATAATAGCTGCATGCTATGTGTACCTCTCAGTTCAGGCTGATTTATTTGTGTAATAAACCCTGGAAGTGAAAAGCCTAAACTCTGGTAGCATCCGTGTTAATGACAAGAGAGCTCAAATACCAGTAACTGTATAACATAAGCCTGTAGAAAGTACATGAGTCACAGTTGTCACCCAAGAATGGATTTAAATGACAATACAGGAACAAACAATGCTGGTCAAAGCAGTTATCCATTAAGAAACAAGTTTGTCTTGTCCTGTGAGTGAGTGCCTTTAAAACACATACTTCCGCTAGTAGTTAAAGTTAATTCAGTGGGAAACAGGATTTTTAAGGACACTGTTTTCTCTTTCCATGTCTACTGCAACCCTCTCACATAAACAGGGTTTTTCTGGGACTGCCGTTCGCAGTAGCAGTTTAACACCTACAGTCCCCCAGCCACCTCAATACACACCCCTGTCTAATCTGTGGCGATAGACCGGTGCACGAAGTGGTGAAATTGAGCAACTGTCTGGGCATGAGGAGTGAAAGTGACATCCCTTTAAGGGCAGACACAGGAATGGTGGAGGAAGAGAAAGAATATCTAAAGAAACAACAAAGTAAAAGAACATTTTATGAGGTGAGAAAGTGACAACATATAGCCCTCCTGAAAGCAGTCTGTTGTTATGGGACAGGTAAATAGATACTTCGGAGTGAAAGCTCCTCTCTGATTGGGCCAAGTCCCCACTGATGAATCAGGCCAAGTGTCAAAAGTAATGAGGGGCTCTGATTTGTTATGCACATGAGGCACTGAGAGCATTTCTGGGTCGCTGCTAAACACTGAGCACTTTGCTGGGCAGTGTGGACTGGATGCTGGAGGACGGACAGACAGACACGCCCTCTGGTGGTGGACACACACATTACAGGTCTAAATCACCCTGGACTGTTTGGATCCAGGGAGACAAAGGAAAGGGTACATCCTCTCCAGCGATATGTGCTATGTCAGTCACAATTACTGTGTCAAGACTTGCCTAAGTCACACTGTGAACCTCGGGGGGGGGGGGGATGACACTTCTTCCTTACATTCTAGTGGGAGCTGCAGAAACTCGACAGCAAAAATATAAAGCCATGTTGAAAGCAGGAAAAGCGGCATGTTATTTTTACTTGATTAAGAACTGATAGAGCAGCTGTTTTGTTACTCTCCTCCTATTTTAAAAATATAGTTAGACTTGATAATTAAAGAAACAAAGTACTACCATTTTGTTGAAAATGTACCAACATGCTGTGTGACTACAGGTGCTTTGATACACAAAGTTACACAAATATACAGTAAATGTGGATTTTTTTGTAAACATTACTAATTTTCCCAAGTTTGCCAGCAAGCTTCAATCAGAATATACAACGCTAGATGATTTAGTAAGGTTATTTCTAGGAAAATAAAACAAAGTGCAGGCTGCCCTCAGATACTGATCAAAACTGATAACATACCTCTAT